CTGGCCCCTGTGGCTTAAACTCATGCCAGGCACGTGTGCGTGCGTGCCCATGATCCTGAGAGGAGAATGGAAGAGAAGGAATTGCGGCATGGCCACCCCCCCTGGGGAGTGATTTCTCGCTTTCTGTCTCTCTGTCTCTCTCTGTCTTCCTGGCAAGTGCACACGCCCTATAGCAAAAACCTCTCCAAAAGAAAAAGTTATAAAATATTCTTATAATAGTTTATCTGAAATTCCCTTGTTCTTATCATCTGTGTCTCAAAGTCAGATTCAAACTTTAAGGCACCCACAGGTAACCTTGGCAATTACACATCCTCCAATTCATGACTAGTGTGGTTCAGTATGAGATCCCAAATTGATACTGTGTTATCCAGCACCAAACTGTAAGGTTGTTCATTGGAAATACTTTCACAGTTTAGCCTAATAGAATGAACATGGACAGAAAATAGCTTACATAAAATAGGGTAGGGAATTGTTTATAAAATAAATATATCAAAACAATAATTATGTGAATTAAGAACTGTTGTGCTCTGTTTCATTTATTAATTATTTTTAAAGGAGATTTTTGCTATAAAGCAGGTGTGCTCACCAGAGAGACAGAAAGATGAAAAGTAAGTGAGAAATCACCCTTTAGATATACAGCCATGCCACAGTCTCTTCTTTCAGGATTGTCAGCACAAATGTCCATGCACCTGGCATGAGTTTCAAGGTTCTGGGTTGGGAACTGAACTGAGGTTGGCCACAAGGGACAATGCCTTAACCACCATGCCACCTGCAGGCCCCTATGTTTTATTTCTAATAGTAATAGTTCCATTTTAATTGAGCAACAGTAGGGACTGATAATATAGTTATATATTTCATACTTGTTTGATTTGAAATAGCTGAATCTGGGCAAGAAGCACAAATAAAGCAACAAAAAGATCTTCCTTCTTGGGGAATTTTCTGGAATCCAGGGACACAGCTGTGACTACACACTGACTTAGGAGTCTGAGTAGAAAAGAAAATAATCAGGCATAATTATGTACATTATGAGCTGTTTTGAATACATGTCACTATTTCTCTCTACTTTAGAGAAAACTGGCAATTAATAGTTTATCACTATTTATCCTTTAGATATTACCTAGGCTTCTATTTATTTTTTGAGACAGAGTCTTTGGCTATAGGGTCCATGTGCTTGCCAGAGAGAAGAAAAGACAGAAAAAGAGAAAAATCACCCCCTGGGGGGGATTGATACACTATAGAACCCTCTCCATTCTCCTCTCAGAATTTTTGGCATGCACACACATGTGCCTAACATAAGTTTCAGGCCTTTATTTCCAGGAATCAAACTGCAGTCAGCCATGTGGGATTCCAGAGCCTTACTCACTATACAACCTGCTGGCCCCCCTTAACTAGCCTTCTAATTAAGAACTAGTATACTTGGCTTTCTTGTTTAGGTATTATTATGTTTTAATTTAAAAATATTTAATTTTATTTATTATTATTTCTGTATTATTTGACCAGAAAGAGACAGAGAGAAAGTAAAAGTGAGAAAAAAATCCATCATTTCTGGGACTTGAACAGCAATTGACCATGTGGGAGTCCCATGCTTTAACCACCTCACTACCTGCGGATTCCCTTTATATATTATTTATCAAGTATTTCCAAGGTTCTTGATTACTTTATCTCATACATTACTAAAAATATCCCTGGTGTTATTTTCTTCTCTTATGTAATTACTTCATCTAAAACCATTTCAATGCAGCTTTTTACATGATAAAGACTGAAAAGTTGTGTTCCCCCATTAATATTTATACTATATTCTCATAGCTGGTTGAGTAGAAAATATTAGATTCTGGGTTTTAAAATATCTAATAGTATTATTTCTAGGTACATAATAAAAAGTGAACTTAGAATGAATGGGCCAGCACATAAATGATGAGAGTGTGGTTATTCCATTTCTGGGCTTCTAACACTAGTTGAGCACTGCTTTTTATGTGTGAACACAATACATGTACAAAATATGATATTTGTATAATCTTCTGTCTCATCTAATTGCCTGAGATTATAGTCAGTGCTTTGAGATGTTTAGTACAATGAGGAATGGTATGCACAATGTTGGCAGGTAGTGTGGGGGTTAGAGCACTGGACTTTCACAGGGTTGACCATGGTTCAAGTCCCAGACATGGTTGCTTCCTTTCACCTCTCTCTCTCTCTCTCTCTCTCTCTATATATATATATATATATATATATCTTTTCTCAAATAGAAGTATAAAAATAATAATAGGTTTGTGTAAGTGCAATCTATGATATTCACACAATGAAAAAAATTTTGTAAAAATACATTTCTTGGGGACCAGCAAATGGTGCAATGGTTATGTCATTGGATTCCCACATGGCTGACCCAAGTTTGAGTCTTGGACCTGGTAGCTTGAAACTCACGTGTGGTGCATGCATGTATTTGCCCAAAACCCCAAAATGAAAATGAAGTAGAAGAGGTTATGGTGTGGCAATTACCCTGGGGCATGATTTCTCACTTTCCCCTCTCTGTCTCTGTCTGTTTCTGTGGTGAGTGCAAGTGCTATACAGGAAAAATCTCTCTAAAAATAATTTTAAAAATTCAAAAATACATTCTCAAAATATTTATCTTATTAAAAGATATTCAACTGTGTGTACATAACCACCACCTCATTGATTTCATTCATTGAACCATTGCTTGAACAAATGTATGTAAGAAACCAAAACAGCTTATAAAAACTGGAAGTATTTGTATAGTTTAGAATGTATATAAGCAAAGTCAGGTAGTACAATTCTGGATGTAAAAGGCAAATTTTGTTTTGTTAATTTGTATTTTGACTGAGGCAAGAGTTCAATTTTTTTCTTTAGAATTTGCATAGGTCATGTATATTCACAGGAGAGAGATAAGGACAAAGAGAGAATAAGTAGAAAATAAAACCTCAGGGAGCTAGCCATGACAAAATCCCTTCTCCTTCATTCTATTCTACAGATTAGGGCACACACACATACACACACACACACACACACACACACACATGCCAAGCATGATTTTCACGCCACTGGATCCAAAACTAAAATGATTGTTAGCTATGTCAGAGTCCAGAACCTTCATAATGATGTCTCCTGCTGGCCCTGTAAAAATCTATTTTATTGCAGAGTTAAAGTAGTCACACAATTTTATTTAAAGACTCTGTTCAGATATCTCATATATTTTGATTTGTGTGTGTGTGTGTATGTGTGTGAGTGTGTAATCACCAGAGAAAGACAGACAGATGGTGAGAGGAAAAGTGAGAAATCACACACTTCCCAGAAGAATGGCACACACATCTGGCATTAATTTCAAGTCACCATGTCTGGGACTTGAACCACAGTCATGTATGATTCCAATGATGTAAATACTATGCAATCTGCTGACCCCACCTCTGTATGTATTTCATATAGAAATGACGTCGTACCTCTTTGAAACTAATAGACCAGTTTATCATCTCTTCTTTGATGACCAAACCTTGATCCTGGGAATTCCTGTGGATAAAGTCTCCTACTTTAACCAACATCCAACTGTGATTGGGAAATCTCATAAGGTTGTGGATATCATACTGTATCGTATTTCTTTCTTCATCCAGGAGCATGTTGTACCCAATACTGTTTGTCAGTTGGCTTTTCCTTAGAAATGGATGAAGCTGGATTAAATTCAGGGTTTACAAATTAGGACTGGATTTAATGTAGTGTGGAAAGTCCATTTCTATAAAGTAATCCTTCTATTTTAACTATTTACATGTTCACCTTTCTGTAGGGGCTCGGTTTGGTTTGAGTGGTCAGCGGCTCGGGGCTCATGTAAGCTGAACCCTAAAAAAAAAAAAAAAAGACAATGGAAGAGTGGTTGTCACTCATCAGAAAAATTCTGATATGTTTTCCAGAGTGTGATTTGTACTCAGACTCTCATAAAATCCAGACTAGTAAAATCTGATTTCAACCAATTAGAGGCTAATGTTTGTCATTCATAAAGGACACAATATGGGGTGAGAGGGCGGAGTAGTTAAGGTTGCTAAGTCACATATGGCCAAGCTGGCAACTTGAGTTCTGTACCTGAAGCTTACAAAACACATTGGGTGGGGCCAAAGGTGGCAATCGTGATAAGGTGTTGGACTCTCACATGGCAGATTGTGGTTCAAATCCTACACCTAATGGCTTTCTTTCTGACTTTCGTTTTCTCTCTGATCAAAATTTTTAAATAATAATAAAGTAAAATGATCATTATTAAAAAAAGAAAAACAGCACATGTGTGCATGCCCAAAATTCCAAATGGTGGGAATTCCATTAAACATGAATTCCAATGGTCATTATTACATCATGACCATTGTTTATGGGAGGGTATGATTTCTCACTTCTATCTTTTTCTGGAAAATGCACATGCCTTACCTAATAAATAATTTTTTACAGAAGTATTTATTTTATTTATTATTATTAATATTTTATATTGACCAGAAAGAGAAAGAGAGAGAGAAAGGGAGAAAGCAAGCTGAAAAGTCCAAGGTTCTAACCATGGTCAGTCACATGGAAATCCAGTGTTCTTACCACCACACCACCTGCCTTCCCCTTGTAGGAAAATTTAAAAAAAAAAACAAAAACATTATATAGATGGATAGGTTTAGATTCTTGATAGTGCTAGTGGTATTATAAAGGTATGTATTTTTCCAAGTTTATCCAAATCTGTACATTAAATATGTGCAATTTTTGGATACTATTTAGATGCAATAAAGCTTTTGAAAAGGGAACAAGTATGTTTTGTTCTTTATTTTATTTTGGACATCTTTTGATAAGAGTGTGATTGTCATGTGACAATACAATAAACAATTTGTGACAAAATATAAAATTAAAACTTCTAAATCCTAACAGGTATTCTGCTTTTTGTTTTTCCTAGTGGGAATGTGTTCTTACAGAGAGAGAGACAGAGAAATAATGAGAAAAGAAGAGGAGAAAGCACCTCCCATGGAGAATGGTCAGGCTGCAATCCCTTCTCCATTTCTTACTCCCTTTCAGGTTCTGGGCCTGCATGCGTACACACATACCTGGAATCTTTTTCAGGCATCCAGGTCTGGGACTTGAGCAATGTAAAATCTAACTTTCTTAATCACCAGGCCATGGGTTAAACCCACAAAATAGATTTTTAAAGATAATTATTTATATATTCTTATCTATTGTCATTATTTTAAATTGGCTAAAGTGCATGTGTGCTCTTGAAAGAGAGAGAGAGTAAGAAAGCAAACTGCCAAGTCTGGGACTGGAATCATAATCAAGAGTCCAATGACTTAAGCACCACACCATTTGCTGACCTCGTTAAAGAGATTTTTAATAAATGATGTTATCCTCTTAACTTTTGGATTTGATTTTTTTTCTTTAAGAGTTTTTTTTTGTTTTTGTTTGTTTGTTTGTTTGTTTTGTTTTTGTTTTTTTTGCTATAGGGTGTGTATGCTTGCCAGAAAGACAGAGAGAGACAGAGAGTCAGAAAGTGAGAAATCACCCCCCGGGGAGGATGGCCACGTTGCAATCCCTTCTCCTCTATTCTCCTCTCGGTGTCCTGGACATGCACACACCTGTGCCCAGAGTGAGTTTAAGGCACCAGGCCGGGACTCAAACCGCAGTCGACTACATGAGAGTCCAGTGACATAGTCATTATGCTAACTGCTAGTCCCGAATTTGCTTTTATGGGGGAGAGGTTTTTGCTATAGGGCATGTGCACTCGCCAGAAAGACAGAGAGAGACACAGAGACAGAAAGCGAGAAATCACCCCACAATGGGGATGGCCACATCGCAATCCCTTCTCCTCCATTCTCCTTTCTTGGGCATGCACGCACACGCGCCCAGCGTGAGTTTAAGCCACCGGGTCCAGGACTCAAACCATGATTGACTACGTGGGAGTATAGCAACATCGCCATTATGCCAACTGCTGTTCTCCTTAAGTTGCTTCTTGTTGAAAATGCAAATCAAATGTTGTTATTGTTAATAAAATCAAAGTAAGATAGGAGCAAAACTTTCTGATGTTAGTTTTATGTACGTATATTGTATTTACTTGTTTTGCTTCACAAATCTGACTAATGTATTTGTCCCTTTTTGATACTTTAATATAAAATTTACAAACTTTGTGTTTATTTTTTAAATTATTCATTTCACTAAAATTTATTATTTTTAAGTTTGTTATAGGGCACATATAATCATCAAAGAGAGACAGACAGCAAGAGAGAGGGAAAAGAAGAAAGTAAACCACCAGTCCAGGACTTGAACCACAGTTGACCATGTGGGAGTCCAGAACCTTAACCATGATACCAGCTGCTGGCTCCATGATTTGGTGTTTAATTAAAACATAAGCTTATTTTTGAACCAACTAGAAAATCCTGAGACTATAAGTTTCAAAAGTGGTTTCATGTTTTAAAATTGAATCACTGTTCCTTCCTCTATGATTTTTGCAGACAGTATTAGTACAGTTAATTCTAAAAGAAAGTTTTTTCCATGAGTCATGTTAGGATGGTATGTAGAACTAATTTTTGTCCTCACCATAAGTATTGTATGAAGGGATTAGGTCCCAGCATCTATATCTCTAGAGATGAAATAGATATGGTTAATATTCTCTGATGTTGGATGAATTTCTAAAAAACACACATAGATTTGACCAGTTTTGCTCTATGTTCTGTCAAGTACCTTTTCTTGGACTTGTTAGTATTTCACTGAACATTATTTTTACTTATTTAATTAATTTTTAAAAATTTGACAGAGGGTGTATGTCAGAAAAACAGAGAAAGAAAGCAATTTTCATAGAGAATGGTCATACTGCAATTCCTTGCCAATTACTGACAAATATGTGTTCAGGGACACACACATTCCTGGTGGTTTCTCAATCTCTGGTCCAAGATTCAGCTACAAGATTGGCCATGTGGGAACCAGCAGTTAGCGTAATGGCTATGTCACTGGACTCCCATGTAGCCGACCGTGGTTCACATCCCAGACCCGGTGGCTTAAAACTCATGCCAGGCACGTATGCGTACATACCCAAGATCCTGAGAGGAGAATGGAGGAGAAGGGATTGTGGTGTGACCATCCCCCCTGGGGGGTGATTTCTTCCTTTCTGTCTCTCTCTGTCTGTCTGGTGACTGTGCATGCTCTATAGCAAAAAACCTCTCCAAAAAAATAAAATAAAATAAAGAGAGGTTTTTGTTATTGGATATGTGTCTTTAGCAGAAAAACAGAGAGAGACAGAGAGACAGAAAGTACAAAATAAACACTCCTGGGAGGATGGCCACCCTTTAATCTCTTCTTCTCCATTCTCCTCCAGGGATTTTGGGCACACACACACATGCTTGCCTAGCATTAGTTCCAGTAACCAGGTCTTGGACTCTAACCATGGTTGACTATGTGGGAGTTTAGCAACATAAACATTATACCATCCATTGGTCCCATGAATTGTGTGTGTGTGTGTGTGTGTGTGTGTGTGTGTGTTTTAAATACCTCACCATGGACCAGCAGATGGCATAATGGTTACATCACTGGACTTACACGTAATGGGCTATAATTCGAGTCCTGGATCTGGCTACTTAAACCTCATAATGGGCACATGTGTCTGCATGGTGAAAATGCCAAGAGAAGAATGGAAAAGAAGGTATTCTGTTATAGCCATCCCTCTGGGTGGTCATTTCTCACTTCCCTCCTCTCCATCTCTCTCTGTCTCACTGGTGAAGGCACATACTCAATAGCAAAACTCTCTGTAAAATAAAATAAATAAAAAACTCAGCAGGTGTTATGGTGATTAGGGTGTCTGAGTTTCCACATGACCTACTGTGATTCAAGTTCTGGACCCTGTGGCTTGAAAATCATGCTGGGCACAAGCGTGTGCATTCCCAAAATCACAAAAAAAAAGAATGGAAGAGAAGGGATTGCAGCACCGCCATCCCCGCCAGGGAGTGATTTATCATTTTCTCTTTCTCTGGTGAGTGCACACACACTGTGACAAAAGCAAAAAAAAAAAAGAAAAGAAAAAGAAAAAAGACTCTAGGAGTCAGCAGGTGTTGTCGTGGTTTAGGTGGACTCCCACATGCCTGAAAACAGTGTGAGTCCCAGAACTGGAAGCTTGAAATTAATGCCAGTCATTTGTGCACACTTGCCAAAAATCACACAAGGAGAATGGAGTAGAAGAAATTGTCATGTGACCATTACCCTCTGTAGGGTTATATCTCACTTTCTCTCTCACTGTCTCTCTCTCATGAGTGTATGTGTTCTACAAAAAAAACTTCAAAGAAAAACCTCTAGAAGTTATCTGGTGCTTGTGAAGGGTGTTTACCTGCCAGGGAAGAATAGGCTGGTCTGCATCTCTGGGATATTCTATTTCTTTTTTTTTTGGAGAGGTTTTTGCTATAGGGCGCGTGTGCTCGCCAGACAGACAGAGAGAGACAGAGAGAAAGAAAGCTAGAAATCACCCCCCAGGGTGGGGGGGGGCCACGCCGCAATCCCTTCTCCTCCAGTCTCCTCTCGGGATCTTGGGCATGCACGCACACGCACCTGGAGTGAGTTTTAAGCCACCAGGTCCAGGACACGAACCGCGGTCGACTACGTGGGAGTCCAGCGACATAGCCATTACGCTAATTGCTGGTCCTTTCCATTTCTTTTTTATGCAAAAGCATCTTATAAAGAACTTAGGCCACCACATGCACAGCATGATAGATAAAATAGCTGGAGTCATATATCCTCATCATGCCCAATTCGGATGGTAGAAACTCTAGGGAAGAATTAAGTGGGCAGTCTCCAAGTTTGCCACATAGTGATCCAGCAAGAGAGCATTCAAAAAAGATAACCCAGAG